CGGCGGCGTCGGGGCTGGCGGCAGAGAGAGCGGCAAAGCCTCGCCGCCCCCTGCCTCGGGCACAGCGGGAAACGCCGGAAGGACTCCTGCCGCCCTGCCTCTGTCCCGCTGCAAAGCGTTAGGCTTATGCTTGTTTTCCACCGCCTTACAAGTTTGGATCTCCTACAGTGGTCGTACTGTATTAAAACTCCCCTCCTCCCCCCCAAAGCCGTAGCCGATCGGAACAAAGCGTTGATCAATACAGCTGGTTTGATTTCCGAGCATGTCCTTACATAAAGGGCAGTGAAGAAAAATAAAGATTAAGATTAAAAATGCTGGAACTGCAAGGTTTCCTTGTTACTGAATGTGAAGGCGCTAAAACAGGTCATCAAAACCCAATTTTAACAGACTGTATTTCTTCTGGCTACTACTTACTGTGTCCCACCTGCAAAAAACCCTTGTGTAAAGTGCAGGCGGAGGCCCAAAGGGGACAAGACCCCCTCGGCTCCCTCAGGCGGACAGGACTGCTCACAGGCCCACTAACCTGTTTTCATAACCGGATGACTGGCACTTGTCAGATTCCTCTCAAAGATGATTCAGCTTACTAATTCGGTAGAAAATTACTCATTTTTCTTAAGTCAGGTTAGTAAATCGAACTGGCTCACCCAGACCCGCAAGGCTTCTGACGCTGTCTCCCATCACATCCTCCTAGGTAAGCTCAGGAAGTGTGGGCTGGAGGAGAGGACGGTGAGGTGGATTGAGAACTGGCTGGATGGCCGAGCTCAGAGGGTTGTGGTGAATGGCGCAGAGTCTAGTTGGAGGCCTGTGGCTAGTGGTGTCCCCCCGGGGTCCGTCCTGGGTCCAGTCTTGTTCAGTGTATTCATCAATGACCTGGAGGAAGGGACAGAGTGCACCCTCAGCAAGTTTGCTGATGATCCTAAACTGGGGGGAGAGGCTAACACACCAGAAGACTGTGCTGCCATCCAGAGGGACTTGGACAGGCTGGAGAGGTGGGCGGAGAGGAACCTCCTGCAGTTCAAAGGCAAGTGCAAGGTCCTGCACCTAGGCAGGAATAATCCCATGCCCCAGTACAGGCTGGGGGCTGACCTGTTGGAAAGTAACTCTGCAGAGAAGGACCTGGGAGTGCTGGGGGACAACAAGTTAAACATGAGCCAGCAGTGTGCCCTTGTGGCCAAGAAGGCCAATGGTCTCCTGGGGTGCATTACGCAGAGTGTTGCCAGCAGGCCGAGGGAGGTGATCCTGCCCCTCCACCAATGTGTACAAGTATCTGAAGGGAGGGTGTCGAGAGGATGAGACCAGACTCTTCTCCGTGGTGCCCAGAGACAGGACAAGAGGCAACAGGCACAAACTGAAACACAGGCAGTTCCATCTGAACCTGAGGAAAAACTTTCCTGTGAGGGTGACAGAGCACTGGCACAGGTTGCCCAGAGAGGTTGTGGAGTCTCCTTCCCTGGAGATACTCAAAACCCGCCTGGATGTGATCCTGGGCAATATGCTCTAGGTGACCCTTCTTGAGCAGGGAGGTTGGACTAGATGATCTCCAGAGGTCCCTTCCAACCTCAGCCGTTCTGTGATTCTGTGACCCAACAAGCACAAGAGCTAATACAGAGGAAGCAACAGGACAAACCTTTTATGAGGGACCACCAAGACATTAATTTAGCTGCACTTTTAAATTTAAGGGTTTATATCCATGAGACGCTGTAAGCAAATCTAGCAGTCCAGTGCTGACAGAAAAAGGGGGCTCCTCTTCCCCTGCTCTTTCCGCTGGCCCACTTTGGTATTTTCAGACTCCTGTGGAGAACTTGCTTAACATGCTTAAGTGGTAAAGAACTAAGCCAGTTTTAAAAGAAGAAAGAGTAGTTTTCTGTCACTTTAGTGAGTTATAGGTCTCAGGAGAAAGTCTCAGAAAAGCCAGTGGCAGCTGGGGGGGAGCGGAGCAGAGCAAGGGAGGAGGCAGCCACTGAAGCAAGGCCTCCCCGGGGCCACCAGCAGCAGGAGGTTTGCAGTGAGTCGTCATGATTTGATTCACTCTTCCCTGTATCTAACGCAAGTCTATTTTATTAATTGATATTATTAGGATTATTATCAGGAGATATTATTAGTTGTAAACACTCGCATATGAAATCTCTGCCCATCTGTAGATCTGCTGTTGAAGCTAGTTTTTTTTTTAAGACTATCATAGTAGGCACAGTCTCAACTAATGATAAAAACCGTATACTTAAAACTCCTCTACTGAGTTTGTAAGAGGCAAGATCATCTTATCTAAGACAGGACCAGACCATAACCTGTTCCCCATCACGCTTGCAGAACATTTCTGTGGGGTAACACTGAGCAGAAGTTTCTTCACACAGGCTCTCCTCCTGCCTGAATCAGATAGAAAGCACAGCATTCATTGCTAAAATGATTCAATGACGAAATGTTGTGAACTTTCTGATCTTGTCTACTGTTATCTTCTCTCTGTATCATCTGAGTGGCTTTTGTGGTTCTCCTTGCTATAATGCACTGATACCCGTCAAACAACTTCTTAGTGAAAGCACAGAAATTTAATTACTGGATAAGACAAACATATTCCTGATTTATTTTCTTTCTACTCTTACTCTAGTTAGAAAAAACACGCTATCAGAAAGTGTTGCATAGCATACTCTGAAAATATGCTATCTTGCATTTTAAAAAAATAAATAAATAAAAATAAATGAGGACTACAGCAAAGTTTCCAAGAAGTTTGTCTCAGCAGTGAGTAAATACATGACAAACCTTTCTATTGTATCTGCAGACAGCTTCCCTACTCACCCGCTTTCCATCCAACAAAGCTCTCAGTGCAGTGGACTTAGGAGTCATTAGTAAGACCTCAGAGCTACTGAAGAACCAGAACCCAAAGAAAGAAATCCTTTATGCTGAGAAACATAGTCTTATCCTTAAGACTCAAAACTAAGACTACCCATAAACTGTGTTTCTGTGTATTAACTTACGCAAATTAATTGATAACTTTTCATTTATATAGCAAAGTAAAGGCAAAATAGGGAGAATGAGAACTAATACTTAGATTGCCATTACTTTTATATTTGCTATTTCAAAAAATTTAACAACAAGCAAGTAATTATATACATGCACATTAGCAAGTATTTTACTTAACAGAATAAGCTGATTTTAAACTACACGTAACTATTCCGTTTTTATATTATTAAATGCAGATTTTAAGATAACAGCAGTTAAAAGTAGCAGTCTACACTCCTCCCTCTCCCCCCCCCCCCCCCCCAAGAAAGGTCCTCAAAGACACAAATGATAACAGATTTATTTTCCAAACCAGGAAGAGTTATTATGCCATATTTCAGAAAGTTTGGAGTTGCTCAATCTTTAAGGTTAGACTATCTTACTTAACTACCATTGTCTGGCCTATCCATTGTAGCAGCCTTTTCCTGGTCTTAGACTATGTAACAGGTACCTTTGGCTACTTTACATTGTTTCTGCCCTACTTACGCCAAAGCAATACTTGCACAGAAACCGTTTTCCACTTGATTCCACACCATCTCTTTATTTATGTATTAAAAAAACAAACAAAAAAACACCTTCAAGGGAATTCCCCCAGAGTTGCGGCGTAATGTTCAAAGGTGTATGTCTTGCACGTTGTATGTCTCTCTCTCCTATACTGCACAAGTATTCTTAAAATATTCTTAAAGAATTTATTAAAAAATGTAAAAGAACAGAACAACAACTGAATTTAGGCTTTTCTACAATTCCCACTTTTGTATATATTTGTATATGTTTTAATTTAAGATCACTTCAAATATATGGAATTCAGACCGGTTGTTATTTTAGCCTTTACGTTTGAAAAACAGTCAGTAAGGGAACTACAAAAACATAATGAATTCTAATGTATGTGAAGCTGACACAATACCAATGTACTGTTAATTACTGGTGTGCTGCGTTTGCTGCTTAGTAAGATTTCTGAAACAGTTAAATATGGCGGTTGTATGCTTTTTTTTATTGGCATACAGTCACTACCCATATAAGTGCATTTGTGTCAGAAAAATAATTTTCATATTTACAGGAAGTGACAAAATTCCAGTTGTTGGCAGAGGATATAAAGCTTTTCATACACAATTTTTTTTATTATTGAACAGATAAGATAAAATCTGAACTGAAAATCAAATGCAATGCATCATGGAAACTGTATTCCTCAATAGCTTTTCTTCCACTTAATTTTAGTTTCTTTCTCTCTCTGAAAAATGAATAAGATGTCTGAACTACTAAACTACTAAGATGTCCGATATGCTACTTACTCTTAAAAAAAAAAATCCTCACTTTTACCAAGAGCCAATAGTGTACTCAGATTGGATCGACAGGTCATTATTTATATCCATACCAATGCAAGTAAAAGTAATGTGTTGCAAA